ACCAACAACTAATATTGATCCATTTGCTAATGTAGATGCTGTGTGAACTTGTCGTGCGAAACTCATATTTCGTGTTATTGTCCATTCTAAATAAAGTAGAAAAGTAAGAGAAAAATGCTGTTCGTAAAATGATTTTGAATTTTTCATGTGCATAAGTTGTCTATCTATTGATGGCAGATTAGATGATTTCAAATCTTTAATAAACTTCTCTTTGTTTTCTATGATTAAGATAAGATTTATTATGAAATGTTAAATCATATTAATGAAAAATATGTTATAAACGACTTCATTGATATTTTTCGAGTTTGAAGGTTGTATTTTATAGTTCTACGATATCTTTTTGGATTAGTCAACTCTATACAAATGTAACCTAAAACATGAGATTAGATGTTGATACATATGTCTCATGTCGATATCATATCAACTAGTACTTGAATGTGTAGAATTATTCGAATCATCTCGAGAGTGGATTTAATGTGAGTGATTACTGAAATGATGAATGAGTTGTATCACATGAAAATCTTTTTGTCAAGAATGTTTTCGACTGATACTGTAGGACGGGATCAGAAGACTTAATACTTAAATGAATGTATATTGAATCAAATCATGAACAAGTCGTCCTATCTCAACTTCTGATAGGAAATATTCCATAGTGTTGTCTATTCTGATGACGATCACTCAATAGTTAAAATTAAGACTTTCAAATATCGTCACTTCTATTAATCATCCTTTGAGTTTCTATGAATTATTTAATATGGTACTGGACAGCGCGAATTTTGCAGTACAGACTTTCGCAAGTGACTTTTGGCAATTGCCAAAAGTTGTGTTTTCGCTGGATTTTCGGCAAAATCAAAACTGAACTTTAGGCAATAGGCCAATAGTCCAGTTTCGTTACGGCGAAAATGCAAAAAAAACAGAACTTTTGGCAATTGCCAAAAGTCTTAATTAGTGGGAAAATCATTAATTAATAATATTTCGTAAACTGTATTTTCGGCAATTTTAAGAGATGACCTGTTAGAAGAAAGCAGCTTGCATTGCAAGTGGCCTGCATCGCAAGCCACCTTCATTGCAAGGCACCTTTCTATACAAGGTGCTCAGCCGGTTGTGGATGTGAGGGTTTCTCCTTCATAGATACCTACACCTACACCCACCTCCATCAATACAAGAATTTTTCGTTAAGCCACTGTTGGTCGAGCACTTTGCAGAGCAAGGTGCTTGCATCGCTCACGTCTTACAATGCAGGTGGCTTGCAATGCAAGCCACTTGCGATGCAGGCCGCTTGCAACGCAGGCCACTTGCGATGCAGGCCGCTTGCGATGCAGGCCACTTGCAATGCAGGCCACTTGCGATGCAAGCTGCTTTCTTCTAACAGGTCATCTCTTAAAATTGCCGAAAATACAGTTTACGAAATATTATTAATTAATGATTTTCCCACGAATTAAGACTTTTGGCAATCGCCAAAAGTTCTGTTTTTTTTGGATTTTCGCCGTAACGAAACTGGACTATTGGCCTATTGCCTAAAGTTCAGTTTTGATTTTGCCGAAAATCCATCGAAAACACAACTTTTGGCAATTGCCAAAAGTCACTTCCGAAAGTCTGTACTGCAAAATTCGCATTCCCCATGGTACTCACGCCGTATTGTTGTTGTTGTTGTAGTTGTTGTAGTGGTTGTGGTTGTTGTAGTTGTTGTAGTTGTTGTTGTGGTGGTGGTTGTTGT